AGGAAGGAAGGAAGGAAGGAAGGAAGGAAGGAAGGAAGGAAGGAAGGAAGGAAGATCTTACCCTGTGTCTTTGGCTAACCTACCCTGGCAAGAAAGTCCTTTCTGCCTTCAAATTCGACAATTTGTCTTTCTGGGTAAACATACACCCATGGAATTAATTTGAGAAATATTTATTTATTAAATTTATAGGCTGCCCAACTATATCATGATTGGATGAGTTTACTATGTCATTTAACATTTTATCTCTGGCTGTGTGTTCCGATGCTATTGAAGAAGTAGATAAAATAAAATTTTTACTTATTTCCTTTAATCAGAGCTATACAAACATGAGGCTCTGAGGCCAGAGATGGCCCTCAGAAGCCTTTCATTCAGAGATTTCTAAATAGTAATCTTTAAGGTGATGTAAGGTAAGAATTGTTAAATATATAACTGGTATAATAATATTTGTTCATTAAAAATAAATTTATTTTTTTAATTGTAAATGAAATGTAATGCAAATTAGATTTTACAATAGCCCCATTTGGAATACTGTCTTTCCCAACTGTTATGTTTACATCCCATCTTTCTTCTAAGGAACTAAAGATGACATACATTGTTTTTCTACCCCTGCATTTTGCATATGATTCCTGTAACAATCCTATGGATTAAAATAGGTAGAGATAAATGTTTAGCACAAGATCATCAATGACATTCATGGTTGAAGTTAGTATTTAAATTTAGATCTAACTTTCTGTTTAGATTATAGGGTTTTGGGTGGTGAATAGGATGGGACAATTGAATTGAACAAATTGCCAAGTATTTTTCAGTCAAGTGCTCTATTCTGCATCTTCACAAATCCAGCAAAAGTTTTTACCTTTCATACTCTTAGGAGAGAATAAAGAACCTGGAACTCTGGCTAAATATAATTTCTACATCTCACCCCTAAGGCATTTGGGAGCCTTGGTAATGTCATTCACTGTGATTAGAAGCTAGAGCTATTGGTCACAAAATAGCATCTCCCCTCTGTCCTCACTTCTCCACATAGAAAAGTTTTCTTCTATGGAGAACTGTCTTTGACTTCAAAAACTAAAATAATATGCAAGTCAATTTAAAAAATTAAATTCATTAATATTTACCAATAACATCTGCCCATTTAATTAAGAAAGAAGCAGCCATCAAAAGCAAAATATAAATAAACAGTATTAATGTTTCTATACAAGCAGAAGCTGTTAAAAATCTTTCTGTCATCCGCAGTGCTAAAAAAGCAGATAAATCATACCAAGATCAGTTTCCACTTGCTGTTAAAAGTTAAGGAAGTGGCTTTTGCTTGGAATAAATTCCTTTAAGAAAGAGAGTCTTATACCTCATGCACATTAATTTCATCTGAGTGAAAGGCAATATAAAACAAAGATTTTCAAGTGGATCTGGGAGCAGAAGAGAAAATATTCCATAAGGTATGTGGGATGTATGTCCTTTTATTGAAATACCATTATCTTACACTGAGTTTTAGAACTTAATAATAGCAAGTACAGATGAGCTTCACTTGATATTCTAAACATCCCATCCCTCCACTGGAAATTATAAATAGAATTTTACATTAGCTGTAGCTACAAGATGTCTAGGCCTATGTTAAAATATACTGCAATAACATGTTTGAACATGTGTGAAATATTATAATATTTATCGGTTTACTCTGTATCCTTCTACATTAAGCGATTATCCTTCAATTTTCCCCTTATTTACCACAGGAGAATTTCAATGTCATTTCAAGAAGATAAATAGCTACTGCTCAAATTCGTATACTACAAGTGGAGTTGCTGTTGGAGACAGACATGGTGGATGGCATGACAAGTAAATGGTGATATAGTAATAATTTTAAAGCTGCAAAAATGTAGCATAACAATGGATAAAATGCAGGCAAAAAGAAACTTCCTTTAAAAATCAAAATACATTTCTTATAAATACTTGTAGGCATATTGAAGATATGGGCATTATGACCATCAAAAGAAATAACTGGAGCTAAATACAGCACTGAGAATTTGGGGGTAAATGCATTATTTGTCCATTATATTTCAGAGTTCTGTAAATTACAAAATTTTAAAAGGAATATAGAACAAAACAGCAATGTAAATTAATGAATATCAGAGGAAGAAAAGTCATGAAATAAAATAGCTGAAAACCACTATTGTATAGTTCAACCAATATTTAAACTATCAACATTTAAAATGCCTAAGAGGAATACGGTGCCAAAAGGACAAAATCTAAGGTAGGCATTTCTCTCTGTGCAGAGTCTGCTATAAACAAGGCTCCAGAACTACTCTAGCTCTTTGGTGGGAGTACCTGGAGGAGGACTTCCAAAGATGGCTAAATGCCTAGGTTAGTTTATATGGGAGGAGACATTCCTTTAGATCAGAGTTGCAGAATCTAAGGCCACAGGGTTCCATACATCACCTGAAACTCTTTGAGGCAGCTGTTGGAGACTCCAGAGATAAACTATTTTTTAATGGTGATAGAAAGAGAAAAATAACTCCCTAAGTGATACCTAAGTGTGAAAGGAACATACTATTAAGCTTTTCAAAGTCTTTACATTGCTGCTTCTAATGTAATGTTGTAAATATAAAAGTAGAAGCTGTTATTTCATTTTCTAAATTACTTAATGGCACTCTCCTTCCAACTAACAGTGCAGTTTTATGCATAATTACTTAATGTGCGATTTACTACTTTTGGTAGAGCTTATTTCCAGGGATGTGGACATATCATCACAGTTTAAGATGCAAAGTACAACAAAAAAGAAGTGACTACAGGTAGTCCTCAACCTACAGTGACAATTGGGACTGGGATTTCCATCACTAAGGATGCTATCATAAAGCGCAACTGCATCGCTTAGCAATGGCAATCCCTGCAGTCCTGGTTGCCATCATTAACTGAAGCCCACAGTCGTTAGGCACGGCAACTTCTTGCCGCTCCCCCCCAACAAAAACAGGGGGGTAGAACGC